AAAAATATCCCTGAAAAAGGAAACAAAAGACCTAGTCCTCTCCCCACAGCCCATCCCCAGTTTAGGAGGATGTAATGATTCTTAAAAGAAAGGGACTGATCACAAAACAAAGATTATCTAATTAAAATTTTACCTAGGACCACCCCTGCTTCTAATTACCTTTACTCTTCAACTTTTAGTATTTTAGGATGAGGAGAATACTGACCATCCTCCTCTACTCTACCCGTGTAGGATACAAGCATATTTTAAGGTTAATCTTCATGTTTAGAAATAGTGACAAGGAGTGAATTCTTGTCTACACTAGATATAGAAAGTTACCATAATTTCTCCTAATATCCATCCCAAATCTGTTCCTATGTCCCTTCCCAAATGTCTTGATTGTTATGTAATACAATAATATGCTGTCCAATTCATATATTGACTAATAAATTTCATTTTACTATCTTAATTTCCCATAAACTCTTATCATCAATATATGTGTGAAACATTAATTACTAAAGTCAGAGACAGGTATCTTGTCTAGTGTACAACTGAATCCCTAACATACCTGACACCCAGAAGGCAACAGAAATAACATTCTAGCTAGAACTGTGGGATGCTATCTATAGTTCTAAAGAATTCTAAGAATTCTAGAAAGGTTCTTAAATGCTTTCTTAAGATTGATATGTTACTGTATTAAACTTTAGGGAGAAATTTGCTATAGTTAGATTTGTTTCTTTGTTTTGTTTTTTGGTTGTTTTGAGACAGAGTCTTGCTTTGTAGTGCAGGCTGGCCTTGAACTCATGCCAATCCTGCCTCAGCCTCCCAAGTGCTGGGATTTTAGGCATGCAACTCCATGCCTAGTGCTATAGCTTGCTTTAAAGAATACATAAAACCTACTATTTAATTTTATAAATGTAATATTTATCATCACAAATCTGAGAAGAAAGCACCATAATGTCGTTGTTTTGCTTTTTCCTAGACAAATTTTTTAAACCTGGTAAACTGATCCAAGTATAAAGTCTGAGGCCTTAGACTCTTTAAAGAGAAGGCAGTTTTTCTCTACCCTGATAGGAAATACAGTGAATAATACAGTGATTATAAATAAGAAGTATACTACATAGGCATGAGGGAAAGCGGCTCAAACTAAAGAAGCAGGCAGGATGGAGAAACAACGAATTGCCCAACAGTGAGGAATGAGGGAACTGGAAAAAGGGAAGGGTAGGAGAAACGCCTGTGTATCAGCACAGTACAGGGCAGAGCATTACAATGCATTATTATCTAAGACATCTGTAGCCCACAGCCTGCACCTATACGTACTGAGCACCAGCTTTTACTTTCAACTCACTCTGGCAAAATTTATCTATTTGGTTACACTGGTTATGTTAATCCTTCCATTGGCTTCCTCTAGACAGCACTTATCTACTGAGTTCATGAACTAGTCCCTCTCCAGGAGAGCAGAGAATGTCCACAATGCTCCGGTAGGACAGTCCGGGCCCTGGCATCCAGCATCAGACAGAGCTTGTGTTAGGGAGAAAGCTGTGTTCCCCCCTTTACCCTGCGCTGGCCCTGTGCCCTCAGCGTGTGCTTTCATAATAAGCCTTACCTTTTCTTTATTTACTTTTTTAATTGCCCACTTAGTGTCTGTTTCCTTGTCTGTAACTTCAAAGACCATTCCAAAACTCCCTTGTCCCAATATTCTTCCAAAAGTATAGATTTCCTAGAAACAGAGTAAGAGTTCCTTTATCTGTCCCTCTCTGCAATTCATCTGGTACTTAAAATGAACACATGATACTGACAGATACTGGGCAGTGGACCCAAAGGAAGAGATTCTTCTCCAGGGTAAAATCAAATAGAAGACATTGCTATACATTTGCTTCAGTATTAATAAATAGATCTTAATTAACCCCAAATAAATTTTGATTAATTTTTTAACATCCCCCCCTTTGGAGAGAAACCATAAAAGTCTTAATGGTGAAATGAGGAAAAGCTTTAAAGTATAAAAAGAAATCTCTTCCAACCTATAATGTTAATGAAATATCTTTGTGAGCAAAAAGACAAATAGAACATTAATACATACATATATATGTGTGTGTTTGCCTGTGTGTATGTATATAAATAACACATTCACTCAGAAAATTATTCCAGAACTGTGGGTGCTATACTACAGAACCAATACATATAACAATTGAACAACTTGTTTAACAAGTAATGCTTTTTCCTCATTTTTATTATCTCTACTAGATATCTTTTTTATTGTTTTATTCATTTTGTTCACAAAAAGCAGCATGTGATAGAAATTTTAATATAAATCAGCACTGAGAAGAAAATAAACACTACCCATAATTGTACCATCCAAGCCAAGAATCTTGCCGCTTACCTTTTTTTTTTTCTTGCTTATCATTTACCTTTTACTTTAAAAGAATGTGTCAATTTAACCAACAGCAGAATTCTGGTTCACATTGTAAAATTAAAAACAGGTAACCCATTTACACTTCCATTCCTGTGAATAGACTGGGAGGAGTCAATTTCCCCAACCCCAATCAACTCCTGAGTATTGAGCAGAGTGGATGCATTGTGCAGGAGAAGCTGAGCTAGTGCCTCTAGGTGAAGCCTCTGCTGGGTCTGGCAGTGAAGGCCTTTCCTATAGATACTACTCTATCATTGTGTGTAGCCATTTGCACCTTTGCCATGAAACCGAGAAATAAGCCACTCACATTTCCTACTGCTCACACTCCTTTCTTATTTTTCTAAAAGATTCAATGCCTATCATCTCACCTCCTTCCTGTAGGGCTTCCCTGATTAACCCTGCACCACAGTGATTGTTCCTTCATTTTTACTCCTTCAGCATGCACACATTGATCCTCAAACTCTGTTACTGTCTTGCTAATTGTGGCTCATTTTTTTCTTCCAAGATGGTATAGAAGGTCCTTAAGGAACCATTTCCTTTGTATCCCTTAAGAGACCTAGTTCCTCTTTATTCCCTGATACCACACAATAGCATAACAGTAAAGATCAAAAGTCAGGAAACTTAGATGATTATTAACAAAGTATGATAAAACAATTTTGTTTCATTATATTTATATGCAATTCCTATCAATATATTTTGTAACATGAATTAAATCTCAATTAAAATGGTCCTTTATCCTTTTCCCACAGGAAAAGTATCTCTTCATAACAATTTCCCATATTTTCTTGTGCCTTAAAAATGAAACTATTATTAATGTCTAGATATAGAGAACTACAATTTAGATACACTAATAAAATCCTGTACAAATAGGATTTTTAAAATGAAAAGAGGCTAGTTAGTTTTTAATAATTTAACCTTTTCTTCAATTGCTTTGATATCATCACACACTGCTAAATTTCATCACATACTGGTAAATAAAGAGAAAATGATTTCTTATCTCTAATAATTTTAAGGTGTTATTAATAAAGATAGTATATTTTTACTGACATAGAGAATATTCATGATATAGTGTGAAATGTGAAAAGCTTGCATGATTTGATCCCTTATGAACACATGTATGTGGAGGTGCTTTTGATGTCCAAAAAGATGTTCATCTAAATATTAAGAAAAGTTATATACAGGTAAAAGAATTGTGGATGATTGTAACTTCCTTCTTCACATCCTTCTAAATGTTCAAAATATTTAAAATGAGTCCATCCACGCTATGTGGGAAAAGAAGTGTGTACTTCGACTGTGTTGGTTAATGTTATTTCTTTTAAAATGTGTATATATTTAAAGGAAAAATTTTAAGAAAAACAATAAAACTGACAAATGCATGAAAAACAAATGTAATAAATATTAAATTTGCTATACCTGTCTGATGATTTTTATTTCCTTCAATTCTTTACCCACAGTTTCATTATTTTTACAATTAATACATTTTGCTTTTAGAAAAACTCTTACGGGTAGATTTAAAAGTTGGTAAATTTGTGGGCTTTTAAACATACATAGTTTGTATTTAAAGGGAGGAAATGTAAACTCTTTAAGTCAAAATTTCCCAGGATTTTTTCTCAACACTTCAAATAAATTGCCAAATATATCCTAAACTATTTTTAAAGTTTCTTAGCATTATTGCAGTTTTCTTCTTGTAACATTTCCTTTAATCTTATTTTAAAGGAACACATTTTATTTTTTTAAATGTTTCTAATATTTAATTCATATTTTACATAGTCATTGGAATCCTGGAAAGAATAATGCTGATATTGATCTAATCTAGGAAAGATGGAGGGGTCCACAAGAAAAACTATAGCTTCAGGTACAGTCGCCATGGAAGTGAACAGCTGAACTATTTAAAATCACCTGGCCTCTGTATTTTCCCGAAGTCTTCACAAATATTTCACAAATGCCTTTAAAACTAGCCAAGATGACAGGACCAAAATGTCTTCATTTTGTCTAAATAAAATCACCTCTACTTGAACCAAAGTCCATTTGGTCCTCCATAAACAGAATACAGTCTGCATTTTGTTTAGTAAAACCTTTGACATACTTGAAAATGTTAAAATTTTCCCCTTTCTTTATTTCTCTAGAGACTGATTTTTAAAATCATTGTTTCCATTAACAATGGCTTAGGAAAAAAACCTGAAAGTTCCTAATAGCTTCGTCTTGTTTTCCCTATATACCTCAATAGCCGCCGCATTCTCTATCCGTATGTGAGGAACTTTTCCTTCGGTAACGTTGCCTCGACCCCACTGCTGTTGGGATGGTTTTCTCTCTATGACTGAGGTTCCTAATGGCTAGGACAAAAAGAAAATTTGAAAAAATAATTTTAAGACACACTATTCTTGTTGATAAAGAACTCTAGATACATCTGATAAATTTTTAGTATGTGTGATATTTACTGTTAAAAAAGTGTACTGTTGTTTCAGATTCTAAGTCCTACATGATTCATTGGCTTATGAAGCTACATAAGACCTTAAGAATTCACTCAGTCCAATCTTCTCAAACCAGGCAAGGCTGCATGATAACCTGCCCAACAGATATATCAGAATTTACTTGATAATTCTTTAAAATCAACAGAGAAAGCAACTTCATAGTGTCCACAATCAGCATTTTTTCAAAACATAAAATAAATATCTAATTGCTTATATATAAATTGACCAGGCAGACATAAAATATGCTTTAAATGAAAATAATACAGTAACAGCTCAGTCAGAGACACCCACATTATACTGCAATACAAATCACAATAGGTGAGAGTAAAATGTGAAAAAAGTTCAATTTTGATGAATGAGAACTTGATTTTTCTGCTCTCTGTCTTCCAAGTTGTGTCATAACAGCTATAATTTTCCATACTGACTCTTTTTTATAAAGATGAATATAGACAAATTATTTCAACTGGTTATCTAAAGGTTGTTTATAACTAATGTAAAATGACTTGTAAAATATATTTGATAATCTAGCCAGATAACCAGAAAACATACATCTTACTAACCACAACCATAAATCTCATTCTGTATCAGTTGATGAAAATGCTCAAAAATTCAGATTTAATTAAACTCGGAAAAACAATCCTTTTCTGTATAACCCAAGATCTTGAGAAATATTTACTTTGGACAGTGGTTGGAAATATCAAACATCTAACTAACAAGTAACTTTATTCAACCGTTCTATGAGAAAGAAATGTTCTTTTAAGAGTTAAGAAGGCAATGATTAGCTTAAAAGGACTCAGGGAATATGGAGGAGGCAAGGAATGGGATAAGAAAATGGGCTGTCAGATTGTGTCGATGTGCTGAATCTTCAATAGTTACCAAGTCTTTTCCAGAAGTGTCTTTGCTGGTATTTTTTTCTTTTTTTCTATCTGGTGGAAAGAATAATTCTGTACTACCAGTACTTGATGTCTGTGACATTTCCACCACCAAAACTGGAGAAATGCATGCTTCACAATAAAGTCCGTCTTTCGGAGATGTAGATGAACAGCTGGTGCACCTTGTGGAGTTTTTATTCAAATTACTATCAGCCATTTGTTTAACTCTGCAGCAAAAATAACTTGAAAGATGATTCTGCTTTTCAAGGGAGAGAACCAGATCAGAAAAGATATTGTAGGTTGGTGGTAAGAATTGCAGCTTCTAATTGGTGAGGTCCTTAGGTTTATAATGCTCTAGATTTATATTCACACGGGAGGGAGAGCTGCTGAAAGAAAAGAAATCACCACTGAGAAAATTCATATCCTAGATATCAGTGAAAAACTAGTCATTTCAATCAAAAGCATTCCCTATGAACATGAAAAGTTAGTATTAGTAACACAATGTGACCACAAACCTGCTGAAAAGATGTGGTCATTTAAATAGGTCTTATTAAATTGAAGTAGTGGGTTATGAAATCAAATTTAGTGAATACCAATTTTTAATAAAACAAAATAGATAATATCAAAGTATTTGCATAAACTTGGTAAGTGCTAGGAAAATTTTAATTATACAAATATATACTATAAATGTTACTGTGGATTGTGTTAAACAAAAACCTAAAAATACCAGTGTAAAATATACATTACAACTGGGTGTGGTGGCACAAACCCGTAGTCTCCGCACTCTGGAAGCCTAAGGGAAGAGAATTACAAGCTCAAGCCCAGCTTGGGAAACTTAGCAACTCCGTGAGATCGTGTCTCAAAAAAAAAAAAAAAAAAAAAAAAAGACCCTAAAAAAAAAAAAAAAAAATTGTAAAAAAGGGTCAGGGATGTAGCTCAGTGCAAAGGTTTAATCCTTCATATGCCAAAAAAAAAAAAAAAAAAGCCATGCTTTCAAAAAAATTAAAGCCATAATCTATTATCAGAGCACATTCTTCTTACATACTTCACAGAGGAATAATTTGATTTTGTGAAACTACCTAACTCTAAAACATCTAAAGACAATATTAGAAGTAAACTCATTTTTATGCTTACATTGCAAAAATAGTAATAAGGAGGTGCTATTTTATCCTGGGTCTAGAACAAGATGCCCAGAATTCTACCAAATTAGGCTCACCTATATAGAGGCAAGTTGGAAATATATAACCTGAGGAAGGAGGAAAGAATGTACTCTGCAGTACCAAGAAGGAAATACCTTGAGAAACTTGCAGAAGTAATTAGGAGTATATTATTATGGTGTTATCACATACTATTTCAGATACTCTTTAAAAGTATTACTGTAGTCATTGATTCAGATGGTTTGAGATATCTGGACTAACTTCTATTAAGTTGGGATAAACTTGGCCGGAACAAGACATTAAATATCTTTATTTCATTAAAGAAATATATTTCTGGTCTTAGATGTCTAAGACTGGTTTTTTAATCAACAATGTTTTACCAAAACCATATCTGTTTTGATTATCACATTTTGTTGGATCTTCTGATATGTGCTATTGTATTAAAAATCTTTTCTAATATTAAAGCATTATTGCATTTATACTAGGAACTTTATGCATTCATCATGGAGGATTCCATTAGGTAATGAAAATTGGTATGTTTGGATTTTGAGTTATCACAGTTATATTCAAATTAACTTGGTCTATAATTTTCCTGTTCACCCATCTTTTGTTGGGTTTTGATACAGATGCTGGCTAATTTCATAGGATGAGTTGGGTACCCTTCAATTTTGCAATACTTGGTGACAATGTATATAACACATGAATCCACAGTAAAGCCTGCCAGGCCCATAGAATTATTCATCCTTACTAAAAGAATCCTAATTGTTTGGGGTGGCAGTGTGCTTATTAACATTTTATGCTTCTTGGGCTTCCTTACAGATTAGGGATAACCGTATGATTTACAGCCTAGAAACTTAAGTAATGTAGCAAAACCATACTTAAAAGAAAACTTATATTCCTAAACTTTTATTAAACTCACTAAAAAGGGTAAAAATATGCCAAGTGTGCAAATAAAAAAGGAAAAGTTAGTAAAGGAACAAAATTTAATGTCCTACATAAATGAATTCCTCATTACTTCTCATATTTCGTATCTTACCACTTTGCCCCCCCAGAGATACTAGTCTCCTTGCTGTTTCTTGACTCTGCTAAGCAAATATGTTTTCAAAACTTTTACCCTCTGTCACAATCCCTGACTTGAAATTATACTGTAAAACTACTATGATAAAAATAGTGTCATATTGGAAAAAAAAAAAAAAAACAGACCTGAAGATCAATGGAACAGATTAGAAGATGCAGAAACAACTCCAGACATATTCAACCACCTTATTTTTGACAATGGTGCCAAACACATTCACTGGAAGAAAGACGACCTGTTTAATAATCGGTTTTGGAAAAGCTGCCTCCGTATATGCCAAAGATTAAAATTGGACCCATATCTTTCACCATGCACCAAACTAAATTCAAAATGGATCAAAGATCTAAATATGAAATAGAAACATTAAATCTGCTAGATGATAGAATAGATAAAACTCTTGAAGATATTGGTGTAGGCAAAGACTTTCATGAATAAAACCCCAGTCACACAGGAATTATCACAAAGAGCCAACAATTGGAATCTCATCTTATTAACAAGCTTTTGAACAGCAAGAGAAACCACTAACAGAGTGAAGAGAAAATCCACAATGTGGGGAAAAATGTTTGACACCTGTTCCTTAAACAAAGGATTACTATGGAGACCATATAAAGAACTCAAAAAAAAAAAATCAGACCTCCAAACTTTAAAGACCCAATCCAAAAGTGGGCATCTGAGATGAATACACACTTCTCAGGTGAAGAAATATGAACAGCAAATAAATATATGAAAAAATGCTCAACATCACTGGTCATTCTAGAGATGCACCTTAAAACAGCACCGAAGTTCCATTCCACTCCAGAAAAAAATGTGTATTATCAAGAAATCAACCATTAACAAATGTTGGTGGGGCTGTGGGGAAAAAGGAACTCTTCTCCACTGTTGGTGGGAGTGTAGACTGGTGCAACCACTGTGGAAATCAGTGGGGAAGATTCCTCAAAAAATTACGATTGGAGCTCCCATTTGACCCAGCTATTTTCCTACTGTGTATCTCCCTAGAAGAATTAAAACCATCACACCACCGTGCTGTATGTGCGCCCATGCTTAGAGCAGCACAATTTCTAATAGCTAGTTCTTGGAAACAGCCCAAATGTCCATATACTGGTGAATGCATTTAAAAAGATGTGGTTTTTCTATACAATGGAGTACTATTTGGCCATAAAGAAGGATAAGCTGGACAATTTTATTGGTAAATGGATACAACTCAAGACCATACTCATAAGTGAATTAAACCAGACTTACACGTGTAAACATTGTATTGTCTCCCTAGTGTGAGAAGCTGAAAGAGTAAATAAGATCCAAAACGTACAATAGATATTATAACATGGGAAGAAACTTCAAAAGGAAAGAGAAACTGTGATGAGGGAATGGGGAAAAGAAAGGAAAAGAAACAATATATATATATATATGATAGTTAAGATAGTTATACTATTAATTTCTCTTAGTCCACTGAAAGAAAGTTTTGTGCTAATATTCTTTGGACAATTAAATTCCTATATCTTGTAGTCTGAGTAACTAACTTAAAGATAACAATATGAAAGTATTAACCATTGTTACCCTCCTATTATCATGTCCTGAAATTTTTATTATTTTTCTCTTTATAAAAGAAGACTTCTGTATTCTGCATTGCTTCTGTTGTTTTGGTGTTGTTTTGTTTATGTCTGTTTGTTAATGTGTGTTCATTCTTGTATCTTTAAAATTAAACAAAAGACTTTTGCCCTCTGCTGCTTCTGCCTATGTTGCTCTTCTCTCAAATATTATCTGCTCCCTCTCTTTGCTGTGGTCTCATCTCACTCGAGATGCCTTTTCCATACGCTTGATCCAACTCTCTCACCTTACTTTCTCTTTATAGCACTCATCATTTCACTCAGCAAGTTTTATAGCGGAGCTCTTTTCCACTTTTAGTGAACAGCTGATTCCCATACAAACTTTCAGAGCAAGGCAAAGCTCTCTAGCTCAGTTTATTCAGTTAGAATAACGGAAAGCTAACATGGCGGGGGTCCCTCAAAGGAAGGGGAGTTATATTGGCTAATCTACTTTGTGAATAAATGTAAAAATACCAAAGGTCAAACTTGTATTTATCCCAGGTGATGTGTACTGGGTATCCCAAGGTTATTTAGACAGAAGTAATAGACAAGTCAGCCCAGTACATATGATCTTTCATTAAAGTAGTAGGGGAAACTTTTATGTTGTTAAAATTCATAATGGAAAACATAAAAAAGGGTGCATAAAAAGTACCTTCCAGACAGGCAGAGGGAGAAAAAAATGCACCTGATGTCACTGAACATACACATGTATGCACACACATGCATATACCCACCTCTTTACACATGCTTTCCCTTGTTTTTTAAGTAAATGTAGCAGGACAAAAACAACTCAGAACGTATCCATATACACTTTGAAAGATGATTTAACTCCAAGCCTAGAAGAAAATGCTTTGCATTTCAAGTTAAATATAAAGCCTGTAACCATCACTGACTCAGACCTGCAAATAATAGCCTGGAACAGAACTGCAAATAATAGCCTTTACGTTTAGGAAAAATATTACTTTCTCTCCGTACGTTTAGAAATGTTTCACATCAGACATATAAGGCATCATCAATGTGTATGCATTAAGAATACTGCCTTTATGGCACTTTTTATAAGAAAGTGTAAGAACTGATAATAAGGTAAGAGTTTATTACTTAAAAAGTACTAAGTACTGAAGTACTGAGTTCCTTCTTTGCAAACAATACTCCTAAAAGTATACTTACCACATCCTTCCAGTTTTACATAAATATATATATACAAATTTCCACAGATTTTATTAGATTTCTCCATTTATCTGCTATCAAGTTGCAATATACACACATGTGTATGTATAATATTAACCACTTACCAGATATGTGATTTATAATTTTTTTTTAATTTTTTTTTATTTTAAGGATAAAAGGAGGGAAACATTAACAGACATACAACATTTTACAACATGTGATTTATAATTATTTTTTCCAGTCCATAGGTTGCCTTTTCATTCTTTTATTTCCTTTGTTATGCAAAAAGTTTTTAGTTTGATGTAGTCCCATTTGTTTATCTTTGTGTCCTGAGCTTCTGGTGTGGTATCCAAAAAATAAAATAAAATCATTGCCAAGAACATTTTCTTCTCTGTTTTCTT